CCAACATATTGTGTTGACCTGGGTGTAAATGAGGTCCTGGTCCTTTCTTCCTCCAATAGACTGGCATACGAAAGCCCCCTTTTGAGACTCTGGGTACACATGAAGGAAGAAGAACTTCCACAGAGGTGGCTGAGAAAAGGATCTGGGGCACCTGTTGAGGTAATTTACCAGTTCCTTCTGGACCTGTTAGAGCCTGGTCCTAAGCGTACCACGCCTATCACATGTCAGATCACTGTAGGGTCATGCCTGATCTTCAGACTCTGGCATTTGCATGCCCTTCAGAGGAACCCAGCCTCCCTTTCAATCAATGGGCTCTGCGCTGTGAAAAAACTCAGATAATTTTCCATTGCTGATGTCATCTTTTTGCTCTAACGCTCTTGATTATTTTAAAGAAAATTCATACAAATTGAGCCATAACCTTGTCAACTCTCTATCGATCTCATCCCTAGCAACACCATAACCTACTAGCCATTGACATAGACACCTATGGCTCAAGGCACCCTAACTGCCGCTCCAGCTTTGCTTCCCACTTGGTAATTGGGTCCCCTTTGCCTCTTGTGACCTACTAGGCCAGCTGACCCTGGATAGCAGCAAGTCGATGTCGCCGCCATGTCCCATCATCGAAGCCAGGCTTCAGAGGATTGCCACCACTGAGCTTCTCAAAGATCCTGGTGCTTTCCCCACTCCCACTAGGCCTTTTCTTTCTGGCTCAATGGAGGGAATGCCCTTGGGGCCATCCCAGGAGACATAGCCAAGTGGTAGATTCTTGGGTCTGATGATTCTAATATTCCCAGCTCTCTCTGGGCCTTCTATTCCTTTTTCAACATTGTGCCAAAGAAGTTCTGGCATCTCACCTTATTTCCTATCGGCTACCGTCATGAGAACAAGCACCGTGTTGCAAGGCAACTGCAGCAATTAGGTCATCGTTTGCTCTCCAGGCCAGGAGGAGCTGTTTCATTCTGACAAAGGGGGAGAGAGGTGCTTCTACCAGCCAGCATATATAGGGAGGTTTGGGGGTCCAAGAGTTTCAGGGCTTGGCACCCAAATGTCTCTACTCCAGATCACAAGGTCCAACTCTTTCCTAATCAGAGCCCGGACGTGAACAGAGGACACCTGTGTGGCTGCAAGCTTAGTCTCCCTTTCCAGCTCGGCCACCATACAATCAGTACCTGAGCCTGATTTTCAGTGCAGTCTGTTTTGTGGCTGTCGAAAGATAAGAGTGACCTTAAAGCATTCACCAGCATGCCTTCAGTTGGCAAACGGCTTCCGTGAGCCTGTCATCATCTCTCTGAAGAGACGATGGAGGTTTCCAGTACCATCAGAAGCCATCCAATCCCACAAGTCTTATGAGGATCACTTCCCTCCCGTTGATCAAGTGCGACAGCCACGTGACCTCCCAAAGCCTCACCTCCTACCGGCATCTCATTCCAAGTAGCTGCGGGTGAAGCTTTAGAAATTGTGATGTCATATATGCCCCATAGGACCCTGTTTGCCATCAGTAATGGGGCCCCTATTGCCTTCAGACAGATGGGAAACCCAGCTCCCACATCCCATCCTGAAGATCTGCTTTCTGGGGCCACTTGTGGTACCAACTGTCTGCAGTTCCTGGGGACACAGAGCATGAAGTGGTGCTTGCCTGCCGATACTTTATTGAAGGGTACAACCCTCAGGTAACAAAAATAAGGAGGAAATGGGAGGGAAGCAACTAAAGAGGGAAGGAAACACAGGGTTGTATGCTTCTGAGTGGGCCGCATCTTCAGAAGGAAACACTACCAGTCATGTCTCTCAGCCATCTCCTGACAGGCCAAATGAGACCACTGCACTCCAGGGACCGGGTCTGTCCTCTTGTCTTTCATTGGTCAAAATTTGCCCCGAGGTTCAACTCCCCTGCATTTCTGAGTAGAGTTACCTGGCCCCCTGTAGGCAGATCCCAGGTACTGTGGTGTGGGTTGCCATCTGAGTCCAGAAAGGGTGAGAGGAGGCAGAGCACCAACCCCTTCCCCGCGGTCCTGCCAGGGCTTGAGGGGGCCCCGTGACAGAGCCTGGTCTTCACCATAGGCTGTGGTATTCCCCCGTGTTAGGAGGGCCAGGAGGCTGTGGGGCCAGGTGATACCCCAGAGGTACACAGATTGGGTCCAGTCCGGGAGTACTGAAGACCAGAATGTACAATACAGGCTTTTCTTTTCCTTTTTTTTTTTTTTTTTAAGATTTTATTTATTTATTTGACAGAGAGAGCAAGAGAGCACAACAAGGGGAGCAGCAAAAGGAGAGAGAGAAGCAGGCTCCCCACTGAGCAGGGAGCCCGACATAGGGCTCAATCCCAATACCCTGGGATCATGACCTGAGCCGAAGGCAGCCGCTTAACCGACTGAGCCACCCAGGCGCCCCCAGTATAGACTTTTCAACACGTAAAACCTGCCCAAGTCCTATCAAAGAACTGAACTGCTGTCTGGGGGTCAGGACTTCTGAAACTCAGGTGAGCAGCTGTGGGATTCTGGGCGAGCTCCTCACGTCTCCGAGCCTGTCAAATGAAGCAATTACCTTTACCTCACAGAGTTGTGAGAAGTGCATTAAAGGGGCGCCTGGGTGGCTCAGTTGGTTGAGCGCCTGCCTTCGGCTCAGGTCATGATCCTGGAGTCCCTGGATCGAGTCCCGCATCGGGCTCCCTGCTCGGCAGGGGGTCTGCTTCTCCCTCTCCCACTCCCCCTGCTTGTGTTCCCTCTCTCGCTGTGTCTCTCTCTGTCAAATAAATAAATAAAATCTTAACAACAACAAAAAAGAAGTGCATTAAAATGTGATATAAAGAACATTTTTTTAAAAAAGATTTATTATTATTTTTTTGAGGGGGGGCAGAAGGAGAGAATCTCAAGCAGACTCCCCACTGAGCAGGGAACCGGGTTCCCGTCTCACTCTCACGACCCTGAGACCATGACCTGAACCGAAATCAAGAGTTGGATGCTTAACTGACTGAGCCACCCAGGCGCCCCAAGGACATTTTTGAAGTGGTAAAGAGCTCCATATATAAACATGTCAGGTTGTTGTCACATCTAAAGATTGAAATCATGAACTGAACAAAATACCCTGACTGGCTTAAGTAGAAAGGCATTAAGATAATCAGTGTTCTTTTGACCTCAGCTGACAAATAGTGGCTCAATTTTGTGACTCATTCTTCTGCTTCAAACTCCCCGTGAGAGAAAGTCACCCGAGAAGTCCCCTCTCCAACATTTTCTTCCCATGCATCCTCCCTCCAGGATGGTCCCTCCAGAATGGTTTCCTGTTCCCATGTTCCCAGCCTCAAATGCTCTGTTGGGCCCTTAGTAGGTGCTCACGGACACTACGTATGGAATGAATGAATGAATGAGTGAGTGAACAGGTATCTCCACATCTTTGCCCCAGGGGTTCCCAACACTTGAACTACTCCCCCACTCCCTGAAGGTCATTTTACCCTGGAAGCCTTGACTGCCCCCTCCCTCATCTTCATTCCTGACCCCTGCTTACAGTGCAGGCCCCTTTCTCACACCACAGCCCCAGAGGGCAGAATGGCTGATTTCCTGATCTGTCTCCCTGACCGGGCCCCCAGCTTTTTCCCAAAGGCCCAGAGTCCCCCATTCACAGCTATCCCCCCGCATCCCTGGGGCTCAGAAGTGGCTTACAGAATTTACACGGAGAGCAGTCTTGCGTCGGCACTCTGCACGAAAGAGGTCCCCGGGAAACTGGTCCAAAAACTGTCTGTGGAGCAGTTGATACTTAGAGTGTGTGTTGATGTCACTTAGGGTGCCCACAGAGACTGAGAAAAGAACTCAATAAATGTTTCTTCAGGGAATAAACTATGGTGTCTGATTCCCCACTCTTAGTCCTCGGCCCCTGGTTCCCTCCCTCGCCCAACCTAAAAATAGGACTGTCCATGCCTTGGGGACCTTCTGGAAGGCCACTTCACACAGTCAAAGCGCTTCCCAAGCCCTGCCACCCGAGTTGCAGAGCGACTGCGCATACCTGCGGTGCGGTCGGGGAGGCGGGGGTGGGCAGCAGGTTTGAGAGTGGCGGGCTACTTCGCGACCGACTTGTTGATAACCTTGCCTCCGACAGAGGAGTTGGGCATGGCTGGGGTGGAGACGTCCTCCTCAGGGCCCTAGGCAACTCCCTCCGAGACGCAGCGTGTGGTCGGAGAGGTCCCCGGGCTGGGACCACAGAAGGGACAACAGGGCCCTTGGCCCCGGGTGGGGCGGCTTGCACCTTGGAGCCCCGACACCCGGGGGCGGGGGGGGGGAGCTGCCGTTCCGAATGGGGCGGGGGAGGGGAGACAGTCCGCAAGGATGGAGCGCAGAAAGGGGTCTCCGCGAGTCGGTCCATGCCCCCTTCCCGCCGCCGCGGAGAAACTTGGGGGGAGGGCAAGCGCGGAGTGACCCCCTGGAGCTGGGAGTCTTCTTCCTCGCGGGTGAATAAATAAATTATTAAGCGCCCAATACACAATAGCCTCGCTAGATGGAGACGAGGAATCACTGCGGCGGCGCTGGCGGCGGCGGCGGGGAGCGCGGGCGGGAGCGCAGCCCGGGGCGGGAGGCGGGCGAGGCTCTGGCGAGGCTCACGTCTGTTTTCCTTTTTCGTGCATTATTTATTTCGCCTCCGCCCGCGGCCCTGCTGCCCGAGCGGGCGCTCCCGGGCAGCGCCTCCCGCGGGCCGGCGTGACGGGCGGGGAGAGCTCGGGCACCCCCGCGCCCCGGGCAGCCGCGCGGCGCCACCGCCAAGGGCGGGGATCCGGGGAGGCTCGCGCCGCCGGCTCCAGGCGGCTCGAAGGAGACTTTCCCCGCCCTCCCCTCGGCCTCGGCCGCCCGCCCCGGCCCCGGGCGCGGGGAGCCGCCCCTCCCGGCCCGCGCGCGGCCAGGAGCAGCCGGGAGCCGCCGCGCCCTGCGCCCCGTGCGGGCGCCCCGCGCCCGGCCCCCGCCCGGCAGCCCGCTCGGCCTCAGCCGCGCGCAAACTTTTGCTCCAGTGCCGGGCGCTCCTCCCCGGCATGTGAAGCCCCCGGGCGCCCGCGCAGTCGCCAGGGTGAGGACCGAGGCCCCGCCTAGAGGGCGGGGGACCGGGGAGGCGGCTGGCTTTAAATGGGGGCCGTCCGGCGGCTCGCGAACAGTCTGCCGCGGGGGGAGCGCGGACCTCCCTTCCCCGCGCCGACGATCGGCTGGGGCCGCCGCCAGGCAAGGTGGCGTGAGGCGCTGGAGAGGTGCGGGCGGAGAGGGAGACCAGGGCGGGAGGCTCCCGCCCTGGAGCCGGGAGGCCGGGGCTCGGGAGAGCGCGCGAGGGCACATGGGGTGCGCCCGGAGGTCCCTGTGTTGCAGTGTGCGCAGTGAGGGCCGGCGGGGCAGAGAGGGTGCACGCAGCGTGTGATTTCCCGGCGCTGTGCTTGCAGGGTCAGCGAGTGTGCAGGCAGGAGTCGGTGGGTGTGCACGGCCGTTTCTGTGGGTGTGCAGGCGGGGTGAGAAGTGCCCGCCGGGTTTGAAGTGTGCTACAGTGGGAGTGAGTTGTGCATGGCTGGGGAGGTTTCTGGGGGAGATGCACTGGGCTCGGTTAAGTGTGCTTGGCTGTTTCTGGAGGTGTGCATGGAGCCAAAGTGTGCACGCAAGATTCTGGGGGTGTGCACGGAGCCAAGGGATACACGTAAGGTCCTGGGGGGGTGCGCCAGGGCTGGGGGTTCTGGGATGCCGGCTTCTGTGAGTGCACCAAGGGTCAGCGAATGTGCAAGCTGGAGTGAAGGGGCAGCCTTGGTTTATGAGGGTGCCCCAGGGTGCGGGGCGTGCCCGCCCAACCCGGACGGCTACGTGTGCGGGTGCGCGCGGGCGATGGTGCCCGCGCGGCGCCCGCCTGACCCGGGCTTTGCTCCCCTGACAGTTCGCCCCCGAGAGCGCTGGTGCCTCGGGCCGAGATGCTCCTCCGGGACTTGGTGCTGCGCCGGGGCTGCTGCTGGCCTTCACTGCTGCTGCACTGCGCGCTCCACCCTCTCTGGGGCTTCGTGCAGGTGAGCGGCGGCGGCCGGCGGTGTGGGCTTGGCGGGCTGGAGGACCTCCTCCCGGGCAGGACCGGGGGGGGGGGGTGGGGGGGGCGGTGGCACTTCACTCCCCCGACCCTGGCTTCCTGCAGCCGCCCCTCCGATTGCTCCTGGGGAGAGCTCAGGACAAGAAAAGGTGCATGCCCTCCCACTCTCCCTACCCCTCCATACTCCGGCCCTGAAAAGATCTGGAAAAACTCTGGGGCAGGCCTCAGTCCTGGCCTGGCAAGGCTTGCAGGACAGGGCCTTGGAACAGAAAGGGCTTGGGAGTGCCCTCTCCATGATAACATTCCGTTGCAGAAATGCAGGGAAAGAAACCTTAGAGCTTCTACAAACTTAAGAAGAAAATGATCCCAAGAATTATACCTTCTTTATTTCCCACCAGAGTCACTAGTAAACTTATACTCAGCCTTCTTAAACTGGACTTAACCACGGCTGGGGCTGTGTTTCCTGGAGGCAGCGGAGTTGGGGATGTGGACAGGTTGTGCCTGGGGGCCCCTAGTGGAGATGTAGGAAGAAACTGTCCATCTGTAAGGATTGCCTGGGGCTGGAGCCTTTACCCTGGGCCCCCCGAGACCCCAGGGCACAGGCCAGGGGGCCACCAGCTCGAGTGACTTCTGTTAGGCTCAGGGAGAGGGTCAGATGGCATGGCCCCTGGTACCTTCCAGAATGTCCACGGTCAGTAGTACAGCGGAGTGGTGATGTGGACTCTGGTGTCAGTTCTGCGTTTTGAGCCCCAGTTCTGCCCCTCACCTGCTCAGGACTTCAGGCCATGCCTCTCGGGGCCTTGGTTTCTTGTTCCTCACTGTGCCCTTGTAAGTACTTGATGAGATCAAGCAAGTAAAGATGGCTTCGCGCAGCGCCTGGACCATAATAAACCCTCAGTGGTGGCGGCGGCTGTCATTGTCGATACTAGTAACAGTCACGCTGCTCCTCTATCTGGATGGCCAGCCACTCTCTTGATCACGACAGAACCTGTGGGACGTTTTTGAATTTTCAGCGGTTCCACAGGCACTGGAGGACATTTTTACTGTTTTGAGCGTCGACATCCCCAACTCTGGAGGTTTCGCGGTTTCATGTTCTTCTGGTGGCATTTTGGGGGTTGGGGATCTTTCAGGTGGTTGCCCTGAGTAGGGGGCGGTCAACCAAAGGACAGGGGATAGGGTGAGACCCCTTGCCAGTCTGCTGCGGTCCTTGAGCTGCCCTGCGCGATGGGGCCCCGCTGGAAACCAGCTGTCCGTCCTGCCTGGATGGTGGCCTGGGTGACCACCGGGGAACACCAGGGGCTCTCAGGCTGGAAGGAGCATGCTAGTTGAGCAGGTGGGTCGGCCGGCCACCCCCCCACCCCCCCACCCAACCGCAGCCCCAGCCCCAGGCTCCTCTTCTGCTCTGGCTTCTTTGGCTTCCCTCTGTCTCCCTCACAACTGTTTTCCTTCCGGAATTGACAGCTTCGTTTAATGTGTGAAACGGCAGCTATTAAACTCCACTGTGCCTCCTCAGGATTCAGGATTGTGTCACTTCTCAACCCTTGGGCAGCTTGGGACCAGCTTCCCTCGTGCAACTTTTAGTTGAACCTCAGATGTGAAGTTCACTTCATTTTTCTATTCATCTGTTTACAGTTTTCCCTAACACTCCTAGAGAGCAACGTGCTGTTGTCAGCCTCCGAGGCTGGCATTCTGTGGCGTGAACCAGCAGGATTCACACAGCAGACCCACTGCCTCCCCACTGTCACCACCAAAAGAAATAATTTGTGAACGCAGCTCAGTTTTTTAGCAATGTCCTTCAGCCAGGCAGTGCTCATGCTTGCGTGCATGCATGCATGTGTGTGTGTGTGTGTTTCAGATGCTGTTACTCAATACAAGTCAATTTTCGTGAAAATCAATTAGAAAAGGAGTCCTCCAGACAAGTAAAGTGGGCAAAATGTTGGCAGGAGGCTCTGGAAAAATTAATCTACAAATGATAAGGGACTGAGAAGCCAAGGGAAGAGGGGCTTTGGAATGGATGGATCTGGTTTTTAAGGAAAAGAGCTGACTCCAGGAGAACAGAGGGAAGAAGAGAAAGATACAAGTGCATGAGGGCCATGTATTTCCCTCTAAGCGGAGAGATTGAAATCTGCCACATCATAGGAGTTTCTTGAATATAGAGAAAGAACTCAGAGCTATCTGTGCTTTCGTAAGCATTTTGCCGGAAGAATCCCCCAAAGTTGTAAACATCTGCAAGAGTGAGACCAACATATCAAAGAGCTGTAATTAATAGGATAATTGGTGAAGCAAGAGACCTGTGGTCCCCCACGAAGCACCAGGTTCCCACCTTGAAATCAGCCTGAAGCCTCTGGCTGTCGCCCAGAGGATAAGAAACATAATCCTTAAAGTTGAATGACATTTAAATTGCCACAAGGTTGGTGGGGGCATTCCCTAGGCTCCCCCCTTTCTTCTTTAATATGTCTAGAATTGAGATTCTGAGCTTTTGTGATTTAGGGTTCTTCTAAGTTCGCTTCCAGATGATTCCTTTTTTTTGCAAGCAAAGAGGATGACAGGCTGGCAAATTTATTAGGTGTGACAGGAGTGTGTCTCATCAAGTTACTGTGGTGCTGGCCTGTCTCCATACAAGATGCCAGGAGCCATCATCTTTGTGGGTGTCCTCCAGGGAGACAGGCTGTGACCCGGGCCAATGAGTCTCTGTGTGCTGAAGGCGGGGCACCAGCAATGCTGAGGTCCTCCTATGATCAGTCACTACAGCTTGGCTTATCTCGTCAGTAGCATCTATTGGGCACCTACTGTTTGCCAGGCCCTTTGTTAAGTGCAAGGGGGGAGCGGTCCCTGGCCTCGCGGCACTGACAGCCTGGCGCTGGAGAGAAAATGAAGCAATTATAGGCAAGAGAACTCAGCAGGAGCGGTCGGCTTGGGGATGAGACCTGGTGGGAGAGTCAGAGAAGGCTCGCAGAGGTAGTGCTGCGGCCGAAGCATGAACAAGGACAAGAGAGGAGCAGGCTGCAGGCATGAATGAAGTGTCCAGGCAGAGGGAGTAGCCCCGAGGCCAGAGGAGAGAACGGGGCGTGGGAAGAACCCCGGGGAGGGAAGTCCCAGGTGAGGCCACTGTTGTAAGCCCCTAACATAATGCCTTACAGTTTGGACACGATCCCGAGGGCTATGGGAGCCATTGAAGGTTTTAAGCAAGAAATGACATAGTTTCCGGCTGGCATTTTAGAAATCTCGGTCCAGGCCCAGCAGAAAGATGGATTTGGGGCAGCAGGGGTGAGGCAAGGGGGCAAAGACGCTGGGGAGGGGAGGGCTGCCAGATTTAGGCAGGTAGAGATATAGGACATCTAGTTAAATTTGAATTTCAAATAAACAATGCCTCAGGCTTTAGTGTAAGTATATCCCACTCAATATTTGGGATATGCTTATACTAAAAATGGATGTTTCTCTAAAATTTAACAAGATGCCCTCTATTTTATCTCATAATCCTAGGTGAGAGGCAGGTGCTGCCCAGTGGAGATATGACGGTGTCCTGGTTTAGGGTGGTAGCAGTGAGAATGGGGAGAAACTGATGGGCACAGGGACTATTCAGGAAGGTAACACCCACTGAACCAGAAAGCTGCACTGACTGGTCAGGAGCGAGTGGGAACATGGAGCACCATGGCCGCCGGACCACAGTGGCAGGTACCAAATCCAGGTGACTGCGGGACTCACCTGTGCCTTAGCCCACTCTCCACGACAGTAGCATCGACAAGATTCTGGCCCCAGGGATGCTGCAGAGCAGGGGCGGGAAGGCAGGGGACAGCAAAACTGGACGAAAGTGGCCGCAGGAAGTCATGATGTCAGCTTCTGTTCTGCGGGCTTTAGGCAAGTCGTTGACCTCTCTGAGCCTCTGCCCCTGCTTAGTCAGGTCCAGCCAAGAGCAGGTGGCTTTAGGGAAAGTTCCTTCTGCCTGTGGGACTCCCCAAGATACAAACCAAGCAAGCCAGGCATTGAGACGAGCTCTCAATGCTGAGGTCTCCTCTCGACTGGTCTAAATACAACACCGCCAATCCACGGAACCCCCAAGTGGACCCAGAGTTGGGGAGCAGAATAGATCCTGTGTTTCTCCACTGGTGGGCAGACCATCCCCCAACACATCTTTTCATTGTGTGCCTTGAATGCAGGGCCCTGTGAAATCTTAGTAGGTTACTTAGCTTCGCTGGGCCTGTCCTCCCCCCACCCCCCATAAGCGTCAGTGATAAACTTGCCTCTCTCACTTATCCAGCCATGGCTCACACACAGTAGGGCTCAGGAAGGCGCACTGGGTCAGGACTCAGGAAGCACAGACCCACCCGCCTGCCTGCCCCGAGACGCTCAAGGCTCAGTGCAGGGAGCAGACATTACAAAACAGGGGCAGAGTGCCCCAGAGATTACAGGGTGAGGCAGCAGCCCTGGGCAGGTGGATCCAATGTGATGGGTGGGGGGTGGGGAATGTGGGGTTCCGGAGGTTGGCAAGTGGATCAAGGTCTGAGTAACCAAGTGTCAGTTAAGAGCGGCTCAGTGGCCACAGGCTTGTGCTGGACCAAACGCCAGTGAAGGACCCCAAGTGGGCCCCCCCAATCAGGGAGAAGGATAGACACCCCAAATGGGATACTTCTGTGAGGGTAACTGGTTACACAGATGTGCACAATCCCATTCCAGCGGGGCCATTATCCGAGAGACGAAGGAACCATGGATTTTTTTTTAAATGCCATACACTCCGTTGTTCCCTCCCCCTTCAGCCTTGAAATTTGGCCCCGGCTTCCCTGCCGATAATTTTATCGCTTTAAACTCTCATATCCATCGGTGCCCTTATATCCTCTCACAAAAATGGGTCACCGTGTTGGGCCAGGTTAAGCAGACGTGCTCCTCTGGAACTCTCGCATAAGTTGCCCCTCGGAGAAGGTCCTTGGTTTGGCTGTAGCATTGCTTGACGTTTGCACACTGGTAGAGTCCAGCAGAGAAGCGACCTCGGAGGCCGGCACTGGCAGAATGGAGTCTTCGAGCAACCCCCCGTGGTCTTAGAAGGTCGGCCCCTGGAGGAGGGTGGAACGGGAGGAGGGCAGCTCGATGACCACAGGGGAGCTGACAGGTGCACTGGTGGAGAAGCTGGTGGGGGTACCACGTCTGCGCAGGGAGTTACGCATCCCCATCAACTAACTAGGAGAGGCTCCCCATCCGAGGATCTGCTCTTCCAGGTGGGAGATGAGCTTGCCTTCGGAGTTTGAAACGCAGTTAGTGGCCCTTTAAGAACCCTAAAAGGTGGTGAGCAGCGGCTTCGGCTTCTCGGCCTCGTAGATAGTAAGTTAGGGGCTGTAAATCAACCAACCTCTTAACTGCCATCACCCAGTGGTCATCACCCAGCCTGTTCACAGCTGCCAAGTGTGAAGGGAGCATTGGAGCCCCAGGGGCTCTCCCTGCCGGCCCAGGACAATATGCGTGTTGGAGGGGCAGCATTGGCCTCCAAAGGTGGTCTATAGCATGCCCTTCCCAACGGCAGACCGCAGGTGGCTAGCTGCAAAGAAACTGGGGTTCTGGGCTTCTACTCCCCCGAAAAGACAGCCAGAGACGTTACTCGGGGCTTCATTGAGGTGGGGATGCCCACCAACTCTTTTCTTCATGCCTTTATATCCCCTTGTTTCCTGAGGCAGGCACAGACCCTAGGCTCGCGGGTTAGGGCACTCTGCCGTGGGGAGGGAGGCTGACGATGTATCTAAACCAGCAGTGCACATGTGGATTGTACAGCAGAAGTCTAGCCTGGGAAAGTTACACAAAATTTTGATTTAATCGGTCTTAGGAAAGGATCAGGCATGAGTATTTTTTTAAAGCTGCCTGGGAGATTCTCATTTGCAGTCAGGATTGGGAACTGCTGGTTGAGCCCAGCCCCATCCTGGTTGACAGGTGAAGAACTAAAGACTGGTGTCGAAAAAACACCAGGTCAGAAGTCAAGAGGCATGGATTCTGGTCCAGTTTTTTTTTTTTTTTAAAGATTTTATTTATTTATTTTGACAGAGAGAGACACAGCGAGAGAGGGAACACAAGCAGGGGGAGTGGGAGGGGGAGAAGCAGGCTTCCCGCCGAGCAGGGAGCCCGATGCGGGGCTCGATCCCAGGACCCCGGGATCATGACCTGAGCCGAAGGCAGACGCTTAACGACTGAGCCACCCAGGCGCCCCTCTGGTCCAGTTTTTAATACTCATTCATTCACTCACCAAATATTTATTGGATGCCAGGGATTCCCTTAGTGGGTGAAAATAAAAAGCTGGGCCCCTACCCCTACAGAGCGTCTAGTCCAATGGTGCAGACAGGTAGGAATCAGATAATCACCCAAATGTAGATTTTTGACCCACAGAGCGCAGCCTGGTGCCAGGAGAGCCTATAAAAGGAGACCTGACCTGGTCAGAGGTGCTTCCCTGAGGAGCTGATAGCCAAGCTGAGTAATGGATCAAGTCAGAGAAAGGTGTGGGAGAACATTCTGGGACAGTGGAGCAGCATACGTAAAGGGGGATGGGGGGTGGCCAGGGTCCAGGGACTAGATAGAAGAAGGGTGTTGAGAGCAGAGCAGAAGCTGAGAGCGTGGAGTGAGGTGGGGCTGGAAACAACATCAGGGGCCTCTGGAGCAGGGCCATGTGGCCACGTGAGCTCCTGAGCTGTGGGCAGGGACCCAGGGATTGTTAGGAGGATGCAGAGGGTTTGGTCCGGTGTGTTTCCCACAAGACCACTCGGGCTGCCTTTGCTCACATGGCTGGACTGGGTAAGGTTCTTCCCTCCAGATGGGGGGCACCTTGGCCCTGCGTGGACATAGGAAGGCTGTCAGGACCTGTGGGCAGAGAGAAGGGGCGGGCTTGGCCTTGTGCTGTAACAAGGAAGACTGCAGGAATGGTTGGCTCAGGTTACTGAGGAGGTAAAATCGGTATCCAGTCACTGCCCGGGTGTGGGAACGTCGGGCAGCCTGGGCCTCAGTTCCCTCATTTGTGCGCTAGGGAAATTCTGAGAGTTAACCGTAAAATTTTTGTCTCCCTCTCAGTAGCCAGGTCATGGGCCACGGTCTCACAGCCGGTCCCTGGCAGAGCTGGGAATAAAACCTTGGTCTCTAAACCCACCAGGCCGGCCTCCCACAACACTGTTCCCTTCGAGCCACCCCGACTCCTGCCTTCCTCCCTCGGTGGCCTGGGGGGAGGATCCCGAGTTCCAGCCTGGCTGGGAGTGGGTGGGGCGGGCCCATTTCTGCTCCCTGCAGCCTCATGCTCTTCTCTTGGGCACCTGCCCGTTTCTGCAGGTGACGCATGGTGAGCCCCAGAAGTCCTGCTCCAAGGTGACCGACAGCTGTCAACACATCTGCCAGTGCCGCCCCCCTCCCTTGCTGCCCCCACCACCCCCGCCCCCACCACCTCCCCGACTCCTCTCCGCCCCAGGTAAGTAAAGGCTCACTCTGTTTCCGGGGTTCTCTTTGTGTTTTCCGGGCCCAGGAAGAACCCGTGACCAGAGCAGAGGACAGCCTTGCTTCCTTTGTAATTTTCCACTGCCCAAGCAGGAGGGAAGCCAAGGCCCAACTTTTCCCTGCAGTCTGCAAAACGCCTTTCCCACAGAATGTTCCTGCGAGATGGAGGAGGATGTTTCTCCCCCGGTTAATCAGATAAAAGTCAATCTCCATTTGATGAGTGACTCGGCCTGGATTGTTCTGAAGGCCAGAGCTTGGAAGGGGGGCAGCCACTGGGCTGGCCTCAAAGACCCCATGGGTCCACATGCTTTCACTTCTCTCTTTTAATTCGCGCGTGAGGAGGCAATTGGTAACGAACCAAAGTGGAGGCTCTTACTGCCATTTGCGGCGAGTTCTGCTAGAAACCTCCCTTTCTCTGGTTTGCCTGGATTTCATCTACGAACAATTTGATTGCCTGGTCATTCTAACAAAGGAGGGTTTCTTTAGCCAGGAATGGCCTCATCCTGACTCAGAGGGGTTAAGTTTCCTGCTCACAATCGATAGTCGAGAAGGTGTCTAACAAGAGATTCTGTATTTTGGATGGATCACTCCAGGGTCGGCCTATAACACTGCCTGTGATCGTGCGGGGATCTACCTCATTAAACACATCTCCGTTGAATTATTTGGGGGCGTATTGTAAATAACCTTGACAACGCTCATTCGCCGGTAGACTGTGTCTTCAGGCTCTCGGTGGCCAGGCAGTGATGCAATGTTCTGGAGGATCTTTGCAGTTCAGATGCATTTCTGCGTTTTGTCTGCTAGGCCCTTACCTGTTTCCATTCGTGCCAACACCTGTGGCCCAGTGTTTCTCCAAGTGTGGTCCTTGCCATCACTTGAGGGGTTTCTTTTTAATTTATTTAAGTGAGAGAGAGCGCACGCACACGTGAGAGAGTGTGGAGGGAGGGGCAGAGGGAGAGAGAGAATCCTCAAGCAGACTCCCCACTGAGTGCGGAGCCCAACACGGGGCCTGATCCCAGGACCCTGAGATCATGACCTGAGCCGAAACCAAGAGTCTGTCTGCTCAACCAACTGAGCCACCCAGACGCCCCGAGGCATTCCTTTTAAAGTGTAGTTTAGGACCCACTTCAAACCCACTGAGCCAGTGTTTGGGTGAGGCTTAGGAATTGGCATTACAAGTCCAAAGATGATCCAAACGCAAGTTAAAGTCGAGAAGCTTGGCCTGCTAGGCTGTCTGCTCCAGGCCTCTGCAGGACCCGGTAGCCCGGATGCTCACCTGCTCCTCTCTCCTGAGGGGATCCCTGAGCTGTGCTGTGGGGCCCAGCCTCGGGCACCTGCGTCTGGAGATCACTCCCCTCCCCCTTCCCTTCCCGCTGTTTGGGCTCTGGGCCTTTGTGGTCCCCAGATATACTTGCATCTGATGGGTCCACATCCCCCCCGTGCTAACCGAACTTCGGTGCCAGACGCAGAGGTGAAAGACCGTTCTGGTCTTCTGGGGTCTCTCAGCCTCAAAGGGAAGGCCTTAGTGTCAGCAACCCCTAAAAAGTGGCCCAAGAGAGCACAGGGGGGCCTCGAGATCTTTGAGCAGTTGGGCCACAGTAGACAGCAACATTCACCTGGGCCTTCAGGAATAAATAAGATTGTTCTAGGTTGAGAAGGAGGGTCTGAGGGAAGGACATTGGGCAGAAGGAACAGCATGGGCAGAGGCTTGGAGGTCTGACTTTGTGAGCCTCGTCATGGGAGCCAAAAGCCCTTTGGTGGGTTTGAAAGAGTGGTCAAGGGGCGCACCGTGAGGGTGTCGTGTGCCTGGCTGAGGAGATCCCGTTGCATCCTGTGAATCATTGTTTGCCAAACGTGATTCACCATCTCCGTATATGTCCTGTCATTTGCCTTAGTTTTTCTTTAAATAGACTCACTTCTGTGTTTATATACATTAATTTCCAAAGGAAACTTTATATAACTACCGTCAATGAAAAACCACTCTCATTTGCATACATAGAAGGTGACCGTAAAAACAAATACAACAAGCACAAAACAATAGTTCAAAGTTCTAGCTTGTTGTGGAAGGTGCCGAGCTCAAGGCTTTCCCTCTTTTTGTTAAAAAGGGAGAGAAGCAAGTGGTAGAGAGATGTCGGAGCCCTAGTAGGACCATGGAGAGATTTTTCTGTATAAAGAAATCAGAAGGCTTGTAAGAGGACCAGAGGGGGCCGAAGTTTCTTGTTCCGTCTTCATGTGTTGGCATGCTGGGTCCACGTGCCATCTGCAGGCAGCTCACTTACCTGCAGGGACACGCACCCCATGCTTTAGGAATCTGCAGTGGAGAGCAGCAAGCCCACAAAGGTGTGCATTGGGGAACTGGCATGATTCTCTATTGTCCTCTTCAGAAAGATCCATTTTCCTGACAATGTGGTGGCTTGGGGGTGAGCTGCTAGACTGGAGTCTAGTGGGGAACTCGTAAGAGACTTCAAGCCCCAGACCACCCACGAGGGCCTGGAGCCCGGCTGGAAGCCGCAGAGAAGGGGAGGCAGGCAGGGCGTGCCCTGTGTCGGGGGACAGAGGCCTCATGTTGGGTTTGGGGCCCGAGGGCTTCTGGGGCTGAGGAGAGCAGGTCGCTTGGTTCTATGGCGGGGCTCCTTCAGTTACACAGAGCAGAGACGCATCTTGGAGTGGCTGAAGCCATACTAAAGCTAGGGTGAGAGATGTTAGTTTCTTGGCTCACGTGTCAGGATATCCAGCAGCAGGCCTTGTATGATGATAGTATTGGATTTCTGTCTCTGTCTTTCTGTCTTCTGGTTTCCCCTGGGTTGTCCCTTCTCTGAGGCTGGCCCAGTCCCTGAGGACTCCAGGCTCCCAGATTCCATCAACCTTACTGTCAGTAATCTTCCTACAAAGGGAGCTTCTCTTCCTGAATCCTTCAGCTAAAGTCCTGGGGCTGACTTTCAGTGGACCAGCTTGGGTCACATGTCTGTCCTTGGGTCAATGGTGGTCAGTCTTATGGGATGGAATGAGCTGATTGATCGGGCCTGGGCCACGTGACCACCCTTGGCATTGGCACTCAGGGCTGGAGGTTAAAGGAGGGGATGGCTTTCCAAGGGAAGAGCCAGGTAGAGGGGTAGAGGGGCGATAGCCTAAGGATGAGGACATGGACACTGGGCAGGGATGGGACAGAGGATGCCCCCTGGGGCCATGGCCTACCTGGGGGCATGTGAGGCAGATGAGACTAAGGGCAGAGAAAATATTTTGTATGTTCTTTCCATCCTTGTTGAGCTCAGCCTACACCCTGCACACAGATGGGGCCCAATAAATGTCGGACAGAGAGAGAGCCACACCCACAACTTCAGCCTGCTCTGTAGTCCCCAAGGAATCGGCCTCTTCCAGCAGGCACAGGGCTTCGGTGCTGTGAAGCCTCTGTGGTCGTTTTGTTCCCTAGGTGTGCATGGAGCTCAGCAGGTGCCGGGCACGGTGCCAGGGCTAGGAAGTCAGCAGTGAGCAAGAGAGGGGCGGCTCCTGCCCTCACGAAGTTCAGTTTGCAGAAGGAGTGTCCTTTCCTGCCATCTTTCGGGAGATGCTGTTTCTGAGCGCGTGTCAGCCTTTTGCCCATTTGTCCCATGGATGTGCCTTGCATCCATTCCGCTCACGAGGGCCTCTCCTTCACTGGCCAGTGTTTGCCCAGCGTCTGCAGTGGGCATGCCAGTGGCACCCAGAGGCGCACAGGGACTTGGCCTCCCCAGCAGGGGCTGGAAGGGAGGATCTGGGATGGCATGAAAGAATTCTCCAGGAGATGTTGGCCGGGCTGGAACAGAGGGAGGCCGGCCAGGCCGTGGAAGAGAGGGAGCAGTGGACGCAAAGCCCAGAGTTAGGATCAGGCAGAAGACTCCCTGCTGAAGGAATGTTTGTCGGCTGGAGTGTGGGCTACAGTGTGTGGGTCTGGGATCAAGGGAGAAGGAGGGAAGAGAGAAAGCTCTATGCATCTTCCCACAGACCTATATGGTCTTGCATGGAAGTGACTGCCAGAAATTGTTGGGCGTTCTCCACGTGGCCGGGCGGGCAGGCCACCCTCTTCCTCCAAACAGCACCCTGCTGCTCAGGGCAACCAACGTGTCCTGTTTTGCCCAGGACTGTCCTGGTGTCCCAGAGAATGACAGTCAGGTCAGGGGACTTTAGAGGCAGATCCGGCCCTTCCACTGCTAGGTCTGTCGTGCTGGGCATGTCACAGTCCCTCTTAGGGCCTCAGTTCCCTCATCTGTAAAGTGGGGCTGGGGGTACCCTCTGGAGAAGGGATTGCTGGGAAGACTGGAGATGACATAGGCTGCACGTGGCAGAAACTACATGCTTGAAAAGCCCTGTGGCAGCCCAGCTCTCCTGCCCTCTAGACCTGGTGCCAAATCTTGCTCATTAGCTAAGTGATTTGGGCGAGGTATCCTTAACTGCATGGGACCTCAGTTTCTGCATCTGTAAAATGGGGCTAATGACAACACCAGCTGCATGTGCGTGGTTGGGGGGTTTAGTGCCATAAAGTTAACACAGTGCAGAACCCAGAGCCCAAGTCATACTCAATAAATAGCAGCTAATAAATATTAATGATCAGAGTAGTAATAATAAAAGGTCACTGGCCTCCAGGTTGGGAGTTACTTAAACACGGTCCTGGCACCTATCTGCTGACAAAGGAGCATCAGGTTAGAAACTTGAGGATGAAGTTGGCTCTTTAAGGATGTGCCGGCTCTCCTAGGTTTTCAGCAGAAAGGAAAAGGTTTTCAGAGCCCCGCCCGGGGCCCCTTTCGGGGCAGCCCTCGCCAGGCTCACGGTTAATCGGGGTCCCCCAGGTCCAGATATTTCTGGAAGGCGTGGGCAGGGGTGAATCCTGGCAAAGGCATGCTCAAGGGGCCTGAGCAGAAAGCCCACGGCAGCCGCCAGAGCTCAGGACCTGGGCTCGCTTGGTAAATGTCAGCGATGCCCACTCGTCCCCGCGTGTGACTC